GGTCTATAATTACATGTCTGGCTCACCACTTTTGTAAATCGGATTGATAATGGCTTTTTTTCAGCTCTCAGGGAAAGTTTTTGTTTGAATTGACATATTCACCAGATGTGTTATTGGCTTAAGTAATTGAGTTCTATGATATTTTATCAGTTCACCATCCAAATCATGAATATCCCTAGTCTTGGAGTTGTTCAGGTTAATCATGATCTTACTGACTTTTTCCAAAGTTACTTCTTTGATGTAAAATCCATTTTTAGTTTTCTGACTGAGTATGTCTGGTCTTAACTCGACAGGTTTGAAGTTTTTGGATAGTTCCTGAACTGATTCTATAAAGAAAGCATTAAACTCACTTGCAACTGATGCGTTGTCTGAAATAAATTTGTTGTTTATCGTTAAACCCTTAATTCTATGATGTTTTGAGGCATTGGAGTTGGTTACCTCCACCTGAGACCTGAGGTGTGGCCTATTAGCTGAAGTGTTGACACCTGCTCTGGCTGCAGGAGGGGACTCTGCTGAAACCTTCAACCTGTTTCCAATAACCTAATCAGTGAGACTCGGGCACCAACATTTAAAAATGACCAGCGTGTGTGAAGCACTCAAGAAGCTGCAATATTTCTACCGTTGTAGTTTGCCTGCAGCACAAGTTCTGCAGGCTGTTTGGTTTAATTTCTTTAGAGACACAATGGCTTCAGGATTTGGTCTGCGGTAAGCTGAATTTTACCATCTGGCACTTCAGTGATTTTTATGACCTGCTTGTTTAGCTAATGTTTTCTTTGTTGTCAGGGTGCTTTTGCTCTCTCTGTTAGCTGGTGGGCAGCATGCTAACGGTAAAGATTCAGAACACACAATCTGCAGATTTCTCTGGTGTTTCTTCTGAACGAACTTCTTCTCACTAAACTTTTAAAATGTTTGCTCTGACCAGCGCTCAGCTACAGCACTGTGGGCTCCAGAGCCGTCACACCATACGTACAACAGACTGAGAGTTTTCCGAGAAGCAATGAACCCTCTGCACCACAAGAAAGTTCTCTGAGCAGTTATGAACAAAGTTACACTGATAGTGGATCATCTGAGAACAGGAAGCATGCTGCTGCACCTTACAATGGTTCATATGGACATGGAGTAGATGGATACAGTCCAGAGGGAAGTGTTTCTACTTACAAGCCTCCTCCAATAATACGACAAAACCCACAGCAGCAAACACAAGGTGTTGACCAATCCAAAGACAACATGTGGGATATTGCTTTGCAACAAAATGAGAACGTTTTTGTGAAGGCTGTCGCTTCAAGTCGAGGAATTTGGATAGCCAACCTGAGGCAGGTAGTGCAATCAGCTACCCTTGCAAGCCCCAGCAGCCCCGCAACTAGTCCAAGCCCCAGTCCCAGCCCCGGCAGCCGAGTTACCAGTCCCAGCCCCGGCAGCCGAGCTACCAGTCCCAGCCCCGGCAGCCGAGCTACCAGTCCAATCCCTGTCCCCAGCAGCCCCGGCAGCCGAGCTACCAGTCCCAGTCCCGTCCCCAGCAGCCCCGGCAGCCGAGCTACCAGTCCCATCCCCGTCCCCAGCAGCCCTGGCAGCCGAGCTACCAGTCCCATCCCCGTCCCCAGCAGCCCCGGCAGCCGAGCTACCAGTCCCATCCCCGTCCCCGGCAGCCGAGCTACCAGTCCCAGCCCCGGCAGCCGAGCAACCAGTCCCAGTCTCGTCCCCAGCAGCCCCGGCAGCCGAGCTACCAGTCCAATCCCCGTCCCCAGCAGCCCCGGCAGCCGAGCTACCAGTCCCAGCCCCGGCAGCCGAGCTACCAGTCCAATCCCCGTCCCCAGCAGCCCCGGCAGCCGAGCTACCAGTCCAATCCCCGTCCCCAGCAGCCCCGGCAGCCGAGCTACCAGTCCAATCCCCGTCCCCAGCAGCCCCGGCAGCCGAGCTACCAGTCCCAGTCCCGTCCCCAGCAGCCCCGGCAGCCGAGCTACCAGTCCCATCCCCGTCCCCAGCAGCCCCGGCAGCCGAGCTACCAGTCCCATCCCCGTCCCCAGCAGCCCCGGCAGCCGAGCAACCAGTCCCATCCCCGTCCCCAGCAGCCCCGGCAGCCGAGCAACCAGTCCCAGTCCCGTCCCCAGCAGCCCCGGCAGCCGAGCTACCAGTCCCAGTCCCGTCCCCAGCAGCCCCGGCAGCCGAGCTACCAGTCCCATCCCCGTCCCCAGCAGCCCCGGCAGCCGAGCTACCAGTCCCATCCCCGTCCCCAGCAGCCCCGGCAGCCGAGCTACCAGTCCCATCCCCGTCCCCAGCAGCCCCGGCAGCCGAGCTACCAGTCGCAGCCCCAGCCCCAGCCCCAGCCCCAGCAGCAGCCCAAGCCCCAGCCCCAGCCCCAGCCCCAGCAGCGGAGCTACCAGCCCAAGCAGCCCCAGCAGTCCAAGCCCCAGCAGCGGAGCTACCAGCCCAAGCAGCCCCAGCAGTCCAAGCCCCAGCAGCGGAGCTACCAGCCCAAGCAGCCCCAGCAGTCCAAGCCCCAGCAGTAGCCCCAGCAGCAGAGCTACCAGCCCAAGCAGCCCCAGCAGTCCAAGCCCCAGCAGCAGAGCTACCAGCCCAAGCAGCCCCAGCAGTCCAAGCCCCAGCAGTAGCCCCAGCAGCAGAGCTACCAGCCCAAGCAGCCCCAGCAGTCCAAGCCCCAGCAGCAGAGCTACCAGCCCAAGCAGCCCCAGCAGTCCAAGCCCCAGCAGTAGCCCCAGCAGCAGAGCTACCAGCCCAAGCAGCCCCAGCAGTCCAAGCCCCAGCAGTAGCCCCAGCAGCAGAGCTACCAGCCCAAGCAGCCCCAGCAGCAGCCCCAGCAGCAGAGCTACCAGCCCAAGCAGCCCCAGCAGTCCAAGCCCCAGCAGCAGCCCCAGCAGTCCAAGCCCAGCAGCAGCCCCAGCAGTCCAAGCCCCAGCAGCAGCCCCAGCAGTCCAAGCCCCAGCAGCAGCCCCAGCAGTCCAAGCCCCAGCAGCAGCCCCAGCAGTCCAAGCCCCAGCAGCAGCCCAGCAGTCCAAGCCCCAGCAGCAGCCCCAGCAGTCCAAGCCCCAGCAGTCCAAGCCCCAGCAGCAGCCCCACCAGCCCAAGCCCCAGCAGCAGAGCTACCAGCCCAAGCAGCCCCAGCAGTCCAAGCCCCAGCAGCAGCCCCAGCAGCAGAGCTACCAGCCCAAGCAGCCGCCCCAGCAGCAGAGCTACCAGCCCAAGCAGCCCCAGCAGTCCAAGCCCCAGCAGTAGCCCCAGCAGCAGAGCTACCAGCCCAAGCCCCAGCAGCCCAAGCCCCAGCAGCCCAAGCCCCAGCAGCCCAAGCCCCAGAGCTACCAGCCCAGCAGCAGAGCTACCAGCCCCAGCAGCCCCAGCAGTAGCCCCAGCAGCAGAGCTACCAGCCCAAGCCCCAGCAGCACCAGCAGCCCCAGCAGTCCAAGCCCCAGCAGTCCAAGCCCCAGCAGCAGCCCCAGCAGTCCAAGCCCAGCAGCAGCCCCAGCAGTCCAAGCCCCAGCAGCAGCCCAGCAGTCCAAGCCCCAGCAGCAGCCCAGCAGCAGAGCTACCAGCCCAAGCCCCAGCAGCAGCCCCAGCAGCAGCCCCAGCAGCAGCCCCAGCAGCAGAGCTACCAGCCCAAGCAGCCCCAGCAGTCCAAGCCCCAGCAGCAGCCCCAGCAGCAGAGCTACCAGCCCAAGCAGCCCCAGCAGTCCAAGCCCCAGCAGCAGCCCCAGCAGCAGAGCTACCAGCCCAAGCAGCAGCCCCAGCAGCAGAGCTACCAGCCCAAGCAGCAGCCCAGCAGCAGAGCTACCAGCACAAGCAGCAGCCCCAGCAGCAGAGCTACCAGCCCAAGCAGCAGCCCCAGCAGCAGAGCTACCAGCCCAAGCAGCAGCCCCAGCAGCAGAGCTACCAGCCCAAGCAGCAGCCCCAGCAGCAGAGCTACCAGCCCAAGCAGCAGCCCCAGCAGCAGAGCTACCAGCCCAAGCAGCAGCCCCAGCAGCAGAGCTACCAGCCCAAGCAGCCGCCCCAGCAGCAGAGCTACCAGCCCAAGCAGCCCAAGCCCCAGCAGCCCAAGCCCCAGCAGCCCAAGCCCCAGCAGCCCAAGCCCCAGCAGCCCAAGCCCCAGCAGCCCAAGCCCCAGCAGTCCAAGCCCCAGCAGCCCAAGCCCCAGCAGCCCCAGCAGCAGAGCTACCAGCCCCAGCAGCAGAGCTACCAGCCCCAGCAGCCTCAGCAGTAGCCCCAGCAGCAGAGCTACCAGCCCAAGCCCCAGCAGCCGCAGCAGCCCAGCAGTCCAAGCCCCAGCAGCAGCCCCAGCAGTCCAAGCCCCAGCAGCAGCCCCAGCAGTCCAAGCCCCAGCAGCAGCCCCAGCAGTCCAAGCCCCAGCAGCAGCCCCACCAGCCCAAGCCCCAGCAGCAGCCCCAGCAGCAGAGCTACCAGCCCAAGCCCCAGCAGCAGCCCCAGCAGCAGCCCCAGCAGTCCAAGCCCCAGCAGCAGCCCCAGCAGTCCAAGCCCCAGCAGCAGCCCCAGCAGTCCAAGCCCAGCAGCAGCCCCAGCAGCAGCCCCAGCAGTCCAAGCCCCAGCAGCAGCCCCAGCAGTCCAAGCCCCAGCAGCAGCCCCAGCAGCAGCCCCAGCAGTCCAAGCCCCAGCAGCAGCCCCAGCAGTCCAAGCCCCAGCAGCAGCCCCAGCAGTCCAAGCCCCAGCAGCAGCCCCAGCAGCAGAGCTACCAGCCCAAGCAGCCCCAGCAGCAGTCCAAGCCCCAGCAGCAGTCCAAGCCCCAGCAGCAGTCCAAGCCCCAGCAGCAGTCCAAGCCCCAGCAGCAGAGCTACCAGCCCCAGCAGCAGTCCAAGCCCCAGCAGCAGCCCCAGCAGTCCAAGCCCCAGCAGCAGCCCCAGCAGTCCAAGCCCCAGCAGCAGTCCAAGCCCCAGCAGCAGAGCTACCAGCCCCAGCAGCAGTCCAAGCCCCAGCAGCAGCCCCAGCAGTCCAAGCCCCAGCAGCAGCCCCAGCAGTCCAAGCCCCAGCAGCAGCCCCAGCAGTCCAAGCCCCAGCAGCAGCGCTACCAGCCCAAGCAGCCCCAGCAGCAGCCCCACCAGCCCAAGCAGCCCCAGCCCCAGCAGCAGAGCTACCAGCCCAAGCAGTCCCAGCCCCAGCAGCAGCCCCAGCAGTCCCAGCCCCAGCAGCAGAGCTCCAGCCCCAGCAGCAGAGCTACCAGCCCCAGCAGTCCAAGCCCCAGCAGCAGTCCAAGCCCCAGCAGCAGCCCCACCAGTCCAAGCCCCAGCAGTCCAAGCAGCCCCAGCAGCCCCAGCCCCAGCAGTCGAGCGACCAGTCCAAGTCCCACTGGCCCAACCAGCCGAGCGACCAGTCCAAAGCCCCAGCTACCAGTCCAAATTGCAGAGCTACCAGTCCAAAGCCCCAGCTACCAGTCCAAGCCCCAGCTGGGTGTTCCACAGATCAAAGATGCAATAGCTTTTGCCCCTGACAGTGGCTCTCCAATGAGTTCCAGACCCATTCCCTGGTGGAAACAGCGGCTGGTTCTCAAGTTTAACAAACATCATTGGCTCTAGGCACACTCAGGTACAGTGGCATGCAGACTTTTTGAAGGGCAGGGGCGAAAAGAAAAAGGGCCCTTCAGCATGCGTTTTGGCTCTAAGATACGTTGCTGACCTTGTTTCAGTCATGAGTTTCGTGTATTGAGCATTAATAACTTTGTAAATCTTTCTGCTTTCAGGTTGCTGTGGTCGTCTCCCAGAAAGATCAGCTCTTGGGATTATTTGAAAATGAATAAAGTACCTGGAAACATAATATGTCCCTGGAGATCATTTGAAAATGCTCATGTCCAAAGTTTCTGGACAAAAATAGTGACAATTTGAAAAAGTACCTCTTTACATACTGAGTTGTTTCCTTTCTCTCAGTGGTGAACTAAAGACCGCAAAGCATTAGTTGAGCATCGTGTCAGTATCTTGTTTCTGTTCTGTCTTTTATTATGCAGAAAAAGTGAAACTGTTTCAAACCAACTGGATACAGTTCACCAAGCAGGTGGTTGATGTCTAACCCTAAAATTAGACACCATAAATCTCAGAGTCAAGACAGGGTGTCCTTAATGTCTGCTACATTCAAACAGCTGCTGGTTGTTCTGTTGGCTCAGCATGGGTTGTTAATTGATGGTTCTGCTGTGAAGTGTTTCAGTAGTTGGATACAACTGTTGGTTTTTCAGACTATTGGTTATAAAGACTGGCGGTTGTCTCTTGGATTTAATTCACCTAAGACTGCACTTGCAGTTTTCACTGCAGCATACTCATTGCCAAACCTCACTTCTCCTTTTCTTTTTTTTTTTTTTTTTTTATTTAAATACTTGATCATACTTGTACTGAAGTCAAAGTTATGGTGTTGCATATGGATAATGTTGCTGGGGGGAGGGACAACTTGCTTAACCTGCTGCCACCTTGACCAGCCCCTGATAAGCTTAAGAGGACGGATACATGGATGGTTGCATCTGTGTTTTCTGGATCAGACTCCTTCCTGCTCGTTTAAACTCTGCAGGTTGGAGATGCGATGCGTCTACAGATTATTTACCTCTTACAGTTTGAATAAACACACGTTGTCTGAGCTCGGATGAGAGTGTGGCTGAGGGAGTGCTGCATGAGAAGACTCCAAAAAGACTTCCTGATCTCAGCTGTGACTCACGGGTTCAGATCCTCATCTCTTCACTTCCTGTCTCTTCCTCCCCAGCCTCTCTGATTGCTGTTATTAGTTCAGTCTTCTCTTCAGGGGACATAATGGCACAGAGCGTGTGTGTCGCTCCCTGTCATTAAGCAGCAAGTCTGTGTGGTTAAAATGACACGGCTTTAAAAGGCTTCCTTCAGCTCTGCCCACTCCACCATCTGAGCTCGGATCGTTTAGAAAAAGTTCTGCCTCCCCCTGAATGTCCAGTTTAGGTCTCAGTCGGCAGGTTTCCCCTCTCAGCGGGCAGACGGACAAGAGTCAAAACCAACTAATTCACTTAGTCAAAGATGAACCCATGGCCAAATGTTTTGTTAACTGTTTAATTTTTGACATGGATTCAAACAAACAGAAGGGGGCGCCGGTAGCCTATGGGTTAGTGTGTGCGCCCCATGTACAGAGGTTGTAGGCTTAGGCTGGCAGTAGCTCAGTCTGTTGGTACTTGAGGGTCGCTGGTTCAAGTCCTGGTGTGGACCAAGTCTGGTAGCTGGAAAGGTGCCGGGTCACTTCTTGAGGTCTGTCGAGGAGCCATTAAGCACTCTTTCATGTGCAGCCGTGGTCGTGTCCAGAGTTAACCACGGTTAATGGATTTATAGCATTAAAGTTTGAGTCTGTGCATTCAGAGTAGAATAAATAGAAGAACACATGAACACTGCATGAAGTCTGTACCTTTACTTCCTGGTTTACTTAAAATATTACAGAAAATCTGCTTTTATAGTAAAAGTATCATAAAGTCAAAGTAACTCATGTTTAGTGTTTTATTGTGTTTTCTGGTCCTGTAATTCTTTGGTATTTTTCTCCTGTTCTCTTCAAGCCTCATCTGAACCTTTTTTTATTTTCTATCAGTTCAGTGGAGTGGTCACTAGAGGGTGATGTAGATTCATGTATCTAGCTGTCAGGAGTCTGCAGCAACAGTTTTAAGCTCTCTGACTCAGAGGTGAGGATATCAAATGTTCAGCTGTGATGAGTAAGAAATGTTAAGAAACAAACATTTTGAAAAACTTGCACAAAGTCACTCACTGAATACTTAAAAATATCAAATCAAACTCATGTTGAGATATACAAGAAAAGTTTAAAATGTGAAGAATTTATTTACTTTTTTTAATAAATTAAATCATTTTCACTTTTAATTTTTACTAGACAACTACTCAGTGTCCCTAACCTTCTTTGGCTCGTGACTCCACTTTGACCTCTGGGGGCGTGTCCAGGCTTTTTGGACCGGGGTGGCCCAGCTCGGGCTCTGACTTGTCCAGGGATGGCCTGAAGTTTGTGTGCACACATGAAGAGCATTTATTAACCCCTTCTGCCTGCACTCATCACATTGACTCTTAGTAACACAAGATAACAGGAACATGTTCATCTTCTCAAAACAATATGTACGTCCAAAGTCAGGATTTAAAGAACATGTATAAATAACATCTGCACACTCAAAACTATAAGCCGTCTGTTGAAACAGACTGAATGGTGTATTTCAACATGGGGTGGCCAATATGATTTCAAGGAGACGCGCCCCTGTTGACTTCACAAAACTTTAAGGACCCCAGTCAGCTTCTTACTAAACTAAATTAAAAATTAAATCATGTGATGTGTTTTTTTCTACTGTGTAGTAAACATTCACCTGAGAGCACATTCAGACTGTTTCAGGTAGATTATGGTGGACAGAGGAAGAAAGGTGGGGATTTGTGCACAGAGGGAAGTTTTTGTTTTGCTCAGTGTGCGATGTTAGCAGCCAGGTGAAGGTGAAGTAACGAGGCTGGAAGTTAATGTATGACACCTGGATGAGAGACGGACAGAGATGCTGCACGTTTGTCAGTTTCTAGCATGGACTCACCTCACATGCTAAACTGGATGACGTCTTGTAGCTTCATTAAAGGTCACATATTCTGTAAAATCCTCTTCACCATATTTCTCTTACTCTTATATGTGTCTCTAGTCTGTCTACAAACCCCCCCAATGATGAGAAAAGTCCATCCCCTCTGTCTTTTGCCTGCTCCAGAAAATGTGTGCTCAAACAGGCCATTTGGAGATTTTCCCTTCATGACATCCAAAGGGCAGAAACCCCTCCCCCAGGTGGGTGACACTCCCACAGCTAGGTGTTTGTTCTGCCCTCTGAGTCTGCCTTCTCACTGTAAACAATAGGACATGGAGTGAGAAAGCCCGAGACACCTAAGCCCTTCCAGAAAGGGGGCGTGGTCAGACACAGCTCATTTACATTTAAAGGTACAGACACAGAAACAGCCTGTTCTCAGCAGGGCTGAAATAGAGGGGTTTATAGGCATGATCAAATACATATTTAGAACAAGAAACTTCACACACAGGTTTTGAGGAGCTCTGAGACTTATTTACAATGGTTGAAGAGGAGGAGAATATGTGACATTTAAGGCAGAATGTTTCATTATCTTTTTTATTTGAACTATAATTAGGCACTTCAGTGGACCCCATTTGATGGTCCCAAGGTTGGGAAACCCTAATATAGATACATATTTTACTTTAATTTATGACATGTGTATTTGAATCCTTTCATGCATGTGATTTTAAAATATTAATTTTACCCTTTACATTTTATCAAAACTGTTATGTTATTTATGTTTTACTTTTTTTTATTAATGTGATATTCAATTCGTCTTCCTTCTTTTATTCATCTTTTAAGTTCTTTAAAATTATTTAATTCATACATAGGCTTATTAATTAGCAGGCTGAATCTCTTCTAGGCATTTCTTTTTCAATTTATTTAACCGCATTTGACGTGAGGCCGTTTAATAAAATAGGAATAAATGATTAAAGACGGTTTTTTCTTTACCATCTTGTAAACTTGTTTTGTCACTTGGCCCTCTCCTTTGAATTCACTCTGTTTTATTACACTCTTACATTCACATCATTGTCTGTAAACATTCTTTCAGTTACAAAAAGCTCCCTGCGCTGAGGGCGGGGCCAGGTGGAAGCGCGTTCCCGTGTCCTCCGGCGCGCTCCCGGCTCTTCCTCCTCCCTCAGCAGCAGAAGCAGCTCACGGTGGAAAGTTGACTCTCTCTCTCGCTCCGACAGCGTCGCGTTGTTTCCTGCGCCTCTGTGCCCCCAACATGTGTCTCCTCCTGCGGATATGAGCTCCGGGAGGAGAGTACCCGTCGGCTCTGCTGCTGCTCGTGTCCGCGTTCAGATCTCCTTCAACCGGGGAAACCCTGCCGCGCGAGACTGAGCGCCTTGTATTGTTTTTAACGAACCACCTTTCTTCTTCTTCTTCACCTTTAATTGATCAGTTTCCTGCCGCGTCATTTATGGACTACAAAAGCTCCGAGTGAGAGTGTCGGTCATTTCCTTTGTGAAGATGGAGACGGTGATGGAGAGGGAGTGCAGCGCGCTGGGGGGGCTTTTCCAGACTGTCATCGGAGACATGAAGGTAACATGAAGCAGAGATATTATCTTTATTATTATTATTATTATTATTATTATTATTATTATTAATAATAATAATCTGATCTGTGATTCAGATATTAAAATCAATGTCACACAGGGAAACTCCCCCCTGGAGGATCTGTTGCATGGAAGCAGGAAAAGCAGACATTTGATCCTACTGACGGTTTATTGGAGATCATTAATTTGCTAATGATAAAGGGGGAGGGGGGGGGGAAGTGGGTGTGTCCAGGCTCTGCAGCCTTCTTTTTCAGGACATGTTTGCCCGCAGCTTCTCTCAGAGAATTCATCCAAAGCAGCTCGATTGTGCTGCACACAGCCTCATGAAGACATGAGAGTGATTAATGCAGATAAATCACATGACATGAGAACAGTCCTCTGCAGGACTGTCAGAGAGTCCACATGAGAACAGTCCTCTGCAGGACTGTCAGAGAGTCCACATGAGAACAGTCCTCTGCAGGACGGTCAGAGAGTCCACATGAGAACAGTCCTCTGCAGGACGGTCAGAGAGAGAGTCCACATGAGAACAGTCCTCTGCAGGACGGTCAGAGAGTCCACATGAGAACAGTCCTCTGCAGGACGGTCAGAGAGAGAGTCCACATGAGAACAGTCCTCTGCAGGACGGTCAGAGAGAGAGTCCACACACAGGCTCCATTTCTTCAGCAGCATTTTTGCCTCAGAGCATGAACATGTGCACCACACGTTCATCTTTATCAAGTCTGTTAACGGTGACGTGTATGAAAACATGATGGCGGCCTCCAGCTTGAAGCGTAATCATTTGCTGTTGAAGTGAATCAGTTTGAAGTCTTTGAAAACAGTGAAGTGCATTTTGAGTGTTTCTGATGTACAGAGCTTAAAACTCCTAAACTCAGAGATGAGACGTTGAGGCTGAACAGCAGAATGATAAACTTTGATTTGATTGTAAAAATCAAACACAACGACTCCTGTTTGACCACAGCAGCAGGATGAAGTCCCTGACAGACAGACAGACAGTCTTCTTCTTATCTCAAAACATCCAGTAAATTTCTACAATTCTACAGTTCTACAATTCTACAATTCTACAATTCTACAATTCTACAATTCACTTAGCAGACACTTTTATCCAAAGCAACGTACATCAGAGAGTAAGTACAACACAAGCAAGGATCTAGAAAAAATAGAGGGGTTTATAGAGTTCTTGAGAGCTCTAGTCAGTATAGAAACCATCTTATAAGTCGTCGTTATCAAACAAAAACCATCGTTACCATCATTACCATCATCATCATCAATAATATTGAGACCATCATCATGTTTTCAAGTTAAAAACTGTATTCGCAGAGACGTGAATATTTAGCAGATGGAGTGTGGACAGCGAGCGTGCACAATGCGACATGATATCCATGCTCACATGCTGTTAAGAAACACTGTACCCATGTACAGTGCCTCTGGACTGACCTAACCGCTAGGCCATCAGTACCCCGAGAAAAGTTGATAACCACCACTTGCTTCCTGAGTGGGTAGTTTATCGAAGACATCCAGTTATCATCAAATTAAAAATTTAAGCCCAAAAACTTCAAATATGTACGGAGACGTGTCGTCAGCTCAACAGCGCCCCCTTGTTGTGCTGTAAAAAAAAATCGTAATCCTCCTGCTGTCAGTCTTCTGTGTGTGTGTGTGTGTGTGTGTGTGTGTGTGTGTGTGTGTGTGTGTGTGTGTGTGTGTGTGTGTGTGTGTGTGTGTGTGTGTGTGTGTGTGTGTGTGTGTGTGTGTGTGTGTGTGTGTGTCATTCATCTTTGAGCTGCTGGTGAAATGAAGACACATTACTGTTGATCCCTTTAAGTGGAACTGATCTGCCTGTGTCTCCCTGAGGACGCTCTGTGTCATCCTGAGCTGCTTCATTCAGATTCTTCCTCCATGAAAAGAAAGTGAAGCTTGAAGCAGCCAAGGATCTGAACATTACAATATTAGCTTCTTTACAAGATTTGAAAATGCCAGAAGTTAAAAGTCCAATCAGTGAGATGTGTAGTTAGTGAAATGATAAAGTGACCTTACTGTATGATCAGACATTAAGGAAACATGCTATGTTGAAGTGCTGGCTTCTCTGACAACAATGCAGCAGCCAGTATGTCCTCCTTCTAACTTTAGATTCTGGTCCTGAATGCTCTGGATTTGTTTGGACCAGATAAGGTAGGCGGTTTTAAGGCACCCCCACACAGCCGTTTTGGACGCCCCTCGGTTTGCCAGATATGAGACCAGTTATCAGGTCAAACCAACAGGTGTTGCAACGATGGAAGCGGGCGAGAGAACTGGTTCAGATAGACGTGATTGTACCCGACCTAAAAAGTCTCTGCATGTCAGACATCTTTGATATTTATGATTCAAGGTTGAGCTGCCTCCGATTGAATACCTGCAAAGCCAATGAGAGCGGGCAGAGAGAAAGGCGTCACCAACCGGATGTTGCGTCACTTACAGCTCACAAACATGACGGTGAACATAAACACAAGTGGGATACTGAAGAAGAAGAAGAGCTTGTGTAACTGTGACAACACGAGTGTCATGAAGACAAACCACAGAGCCAGCTGACCACGACCATCGTCCTCCATTTTTGTCCCGTCTGATCATGTGAGATTCTGTGAGATCTCTTCTCTGTGGATTCGTTACTACAAACATCAGGTGTGTGCTCTCGTGGTCGAAGTCGTCTCGTTTGTGCGTTCAGAGGATTGTAATGTTGAACATCGGTTGAAACTGTTTGTTTTCTTATAATCGGTTAATATTTGAAAACAGTGTTGTCTGTAACAGCAGGTAAACCCGTCCTGCTGCAGTGTGAGGACTCACAAGATAGATGTTCTTATCTCTGGATGGATCATAAAGACGGATCAAACGGGGACTTCCTGTTTAAACGCTCCTTCAAAGAGACAAACAAACAGAGCCGAGGATTCCTGGAGGACGGGCACGCTGCTGCTGCTGCTGCTGCTGCTGCTGCTGCTGCCTCTGGTTGTTGCCACGGTGACAATTTATGTCCTCAGTGACTGATTGATGCAGCGGCCCTGCCCTGGACTCAGTGTGTGTGTGTGTGTGTGTGTGTGTGTGTGTGTGTGTGTGTGTGTGTGTGTGTGTGTGTGTGTGTGTGTGTGTGTGTGTGTGTGTGTGTGTGTGTGTGTGTGTGTGTGTGTGTGTGTGTGTGTGTGTGTGTGTGTGAGAGAAAATGAGAGAGAGTGAGGGGATGGAATGAGATGTGGGTTTATGTGATGTCGAAATGATGAATGAGTGATGAAGAGCAGGAAGGTGAAACGATGCTGCGCTCAAAAATGAAAAGAATAACTGCGTGTGTGTGTAAGTGAAGGGGGAAAAAGGAGGGAGGATATGCTTGTGTGTGTTTGGTGAGGATGCATGCACGTGTGACCCTCCCCTCTCTCTCAGTCTGAAGCCCCCTCTGCAGCTGCACCAGCAGTAGCAGCAGCAGGGTTGCCATAGCAACGGTAGCCAGGCGATGACGCTTGAGCATCACTCTCACAGACAGAAAAAAGGCTGAACACACCCAGCACTGCTCGGCTCAGCTGCTCTGCACGGTTACAGAGAGGAGTGATGGTGATGCTGACAAGAGGCGACGCTGGACAGAAACCCTTCACGCTCTGTTTCTTTATTTGATCTACAACTGCACCATTAAGATGTTGTCCTTACCAATAAAGAAACACACGATTTAGGAGGATATTGAGGGTTAAAATGAGCGTCGGACCCAGTCGTGTTTGGGTGCGTGAAGAAGTTGCTCTTGATGTTGGCCCCACATGTTTGTTTTAAGTGTCCCGTCCAGCAGACACTAAAGACACTGAGTAGGATTTTTAAAGTGTGTTTAAGATCCAGTTTCCTTGTGTTGTTGTGGAAGAGTCTGGAGAAACCTAGTGAGTGAAGAAGACCCCTCAGATGTTTCCCTGCAGAAGATAAAAGCCCCACCCATCCCTGAAACCATCGGGAACCCCCTGCTGACATTAGGAGCGTACCTCAGGGTCTGTGTGTTTGTGTCTGAACACATGTGTCTCCGCACTACAGCGTCTAAGAGTCCTCAGTTAAATTCCCAGTTAAAGTCGGTCACTGTGTTTTCATGCCTGGGGGGGCAAGGCTGGTTTGCTTCCTGTAGACGGCCTGGGGGGCGGTGGGGGGGGGGATGTATAGATCAGCATTATTGATCCGTCTCCTCGATTTCCGTCTGATCCTCATGATTTATGTGTATTTAGAGTCCGAACATGAGTTTGATATTACTGTGGTTTATGTTTTATATCCATTCAATTCAATGGAAACAGAAGCTGTGTGCCTGTTGGAGAGACGTGGGCTAAGTCATGAATAGTGACTGGTCCCATTAATCACTATTCCCTCTTGATATGAGCGTGTGCAGGAAACACAAGACAAAACTCTGAATGAATGGTCAACAATCAAAGCCCTCTCCCTCTGCATGGGTTTATTTAACCTGGATGGAGGTTTCTGGGTTTCTGTCACAGTGTTTGATGCAGTCAGAAGAAGTTTGGATTGACTCTGGACTCAGCAGCGACGTGTTGCAGGTGTTTAAAACACAGAGGTAGACAGAGACTGAGAGTGAGAGCTAGCATCAGGTTCTATCATTAGGGAATGTTTAAAGATTGTAAACAGAGTCACAAAGATGCTCAAGTCATTGCTCAGAGATTCAGGATGGAGCTCTGAGACGGCGTGACTTTAACCACGTTGATGTTTTATCGTCTTTTCTTCTTCAGGGCAGTTATCCTGTTTGGGATGACTTCATCAGCAAGGCCAGCAAGCTGCAGTCCCAGCTCAGGTAACACACATACACTGACACACAGACACACACAGACACACACAGAGAGAGACACACAGACACACACACACACACAGTTGAGTGTGTGTTTAACCTGAGCTCATGAAAATCCAATCAGTTCAATTCATTAAGTGTTTAAATGTCAGCTTCACTGCTCCACTGCTGTCGCCTCGTCCCAGATACTCCGGTTCACTGGGTCTGCACACACACACACACACACACACACACACACACACACACACACACACACACACACACATACACACTCTGAAGGTCAGGTAAACACACAAACATGTAGAGAAAGACTCACCTACAAACTGCAAACTTATACATTCATGAATCATGAACAAAACCACCACACCCACTCCAGACAAAAACACACATACACACTTCCTTTAGCCTTTTACAACACTCACACACTTATACACACTCTGCACACACACACACACTTATACACACACGTGCACACACACACACACGTGCACAACTCAATTAACCTTCTGTAGCTGTCAGAGATTAATGATGGTACCGTGAAGTAATTATCAGTGAGATGGATCTGCAGCGGGCCGGAGGTCAGCAGAGGTCGAAGCTTATTACAAAAACACTGACTGCTTCATCCCAATCATCGCTAACGCAATGCAACATGTAACGACGGGACGTGATGCAGCATGGCACGGTGTGGAACACCACATCATGACAAGACAAACCATGACACAGCACGGCATGACCCATGAGGAATAAAAAAAAAAACTTCTGATCTTCAGACATATTTTGAACCCTGAGTTGCTGCAAGCAAAAGGAGAGGCACCCTCGCTCGTCTTGAGGAATGATGATTTAAATCTCACTGTCGGTCTGATTCGTCCAATGAGACACAGAAACAGATTTTTTAAACACCACGATTGTTCTGTGTCTCTCAGGTCCACTGTTGTTGCAGTTGCAGCCTTCCTGGATGCCTTTCAGAAGGTGGCGGACCTCGCAACCAACAGCAGAGGTATGATGATAACGTGTGTGTGTGTGTGTGTGTGTGTGTGTGTGTGTGTGGATGTAGCTGCTGGTTGTGTTATTTATGATGAGAAACTAATCTGTTGTTGATTAAGGTGAGTAATATGGACGTAGTTGGAGTCGTGGTGACCTGCTGACTTGTTGTGGTTGACTCTGTGCTGCTCGCTGCAGCATCATGTTGCGTTGCCTGAGTTGTGCAACTGTTCAGGACATTTTAAAGGTTTTCTGTTGGATCACAGGACTCCAAACACTGGATCTGTTCCTCAGTCCTTATATTGGGACATCGGGCTGATTTACATTATGATGCATGATCCAAATCACATTATGAGCCAACACCAGGTGTAAGAGGAGGTTAACCATGAGGCTACATTGTTGTCTTTTACCCGTGGACTTGGAGTTGGTCTGCTTCCTGTTGGACAGCCGGGTGAAAACACCGGTGGTTAGCTTGTGCTAGCGTGCGCTAGCTTGCAGTGTAGGTACAAGCAGTGAACATACACACTACGTCCTGCGGGGGCGGGTCTTCTGGGGGCGATGAGCCCTGGAGGAGGAGCCATTTCTACTGAGTCCACCTTTGCACAGTGTTGTTGAATGATATCCTCTTGTGTAAACTGTAGATCTCATATTGCTGCTTTGCGTCCTCTAAACCTGTGAATGATTCAAAGAGACGCGTCTGATTCACGAACGCACACAAAGGGTTAAATGTTCAGCTTACTGAGCTGCAGAGCAAATAGCGTCTCTGTGCGTCCGTGCTGCTTGTGAGTAAATTACCCATTATGCATCAGTCGGGGGTATATTTTCTCCCTTCAATGCAAATAATCATCAGTGCAAAAAAGCATCTAAGATCTTTGTTCTTTGATCTCGTTCCTGTGGTCATGGAGTCAGTTCCGACAGACGAGATGAATGATTGAACAGAAGAGGTCGAGGCGACCTGCAGGTTGCTCTATACTCTCCTTCTACGTTACATTTCTACAGGATGGAGAGATGAAGGAGGGAGGAGAGGGGGGCACAGATGGAGGTGGTAAAGGTGATGGAGAAAATAGAAGATGCTTCTTCCACACACAGTGATGTGCTGTGGACTAAATGAAAGAGGAGGAGACGCAGGTAGAGGAGGAAGTGAAGGTGGAGGATAGAGGGCAGATGGTGATGGGGAAACAGGATGGAGAAAGAGGGATGGAGGGGGGAGGGGGTCTTTTGGCTGTCATGTCCGGCCAGCTGCAGCTCGGTGCTCATGGCAACAAGACGGAAATGGGTGCAGGATTCATTCTGAGTGAGAGAACGTGTTCCTCCATCTTCTCTTTCTTTGAATCTACACACAATTCATTAATCCTCTCACCCTGGACTTCAAATCTCAAACAGACATCTGTTCTTCATGTTCACCTGCCTCGTCACTTTGGCTGTCTGTCTATGTTTTCTTTTCCATCATATCCCGTATCACCTTCATTAACATGTTTGCTTCATGTACCATCCTCAGTCTGGTAGATTTCTCCGTCACCGCGTGCAGAGTCTTTTCACGGCAGTACTGGATGAAAATGAGCTTTGCTGTGCTCCACATTCAGATTGAGATGAAACGCTCTCATACACATGAAAACATTTTGTCACAGACTCCATGGGGGATCTACCTGTCATTGTGTATGCACATATTGGTGTTGGTCCTTGGTTACCGTAGCAACCTGCTCTCATCCTGGAGGATTTGGTTCTTAAAGGGCCGGTGAGCGCCATCACTTTGGAAGAGGTCACGTCAATATGTCAACACGGGGCCTAATGGAGGACGAGGAGGAGCAGGAGGGGGTGCAGGGAGAGGAGAGGAGAGGAGAGGAGAGGAGAGGAGAGGAGGTGTAGAGAGAGGAGAGGAGAGGAGAGGTGTAGAAAAAGGAGAGGAGAGGAGGTGTAGAGATAGGAGAGGAGAGGTTTGGTTTTCAAAATCCTTTTATTTTACCACTACCAGTAGAAAATTATAACACTGTCACATCATCACTCAGATCAAGAGAAGCAAATAAATAAATAAATAAAACAAAACAAGTGCAACAAAACTCAAAATATCAACAAAAACAACATTAACCTAAATCAAACTTAATTAATAATGAGCTCTCCATCCCCACCCACAGAGTACAAAGCTTCTTCCACAGCCCATACACAATTAAAGTCGTGCACATTGTCCATCATTCGATAATATGCAAATTCAACCTTCAGTCTGGCCTTCAAAAGTCCCTCCAGAACCAGCACCGGTTCCACACAGCCAGTATAGCTTGGTTCTTGCGTGGGAGCCAAATGGCCAACTTGGCCGAGCCAGGTAAAAAGTTCAACAGTATATGTACAGTCTTTTTTTAATTTGTAGAATACATTGGCCCAAAAACAAACAATACAAAAGCGAAATCCTCCGCGAGAGCTTCAAACAACCTTTTCAAAAGGACAAACAAGAGTGACAGCCTCGGACACTCAACAAACAGATGAGACAATGTTTCAGTTAGTGAACAAAACAGACAATCCTCTCCCTCCCCTGGATCAATGTGCGCTCTGTATCTGTTCGTGGCTATAACCCCATGCACAACTCTCCACTGGAGATCTGCTGTTCTCTTCTCAACAGGCAGCTTGTACAGGGAACGCCAGCTGCCTTTCGGGGAAACGTCTGGGCCAAAAAACTCGGTCCACCTCGACTCTTTCACTCCCGACAAACAACAAAGATGTAGGACCTTAACACAGAACTGATAAAGTGCCTTTTTCCCCGCATCCTGGAACTTTTCCAGAAGAGGAGTATTAAAGGACAGCAGCCCACCTCCTCTTTCCTGCCACTCCCCGACATCTAGGGTAACAGACAAAGATGGGAAGCTGTATTCACCCTCTTCACTCCACTGCTCACACAGATTCTCAATGTTTAGAAATGTTCGAAGTTGTTCTGGAAGTGCAGCAAAGACTTCCTCCACCACTCTTTTAACCACCCGGCTGGAGGTGATATTAGTCCCTTTTTTGAGGATGTCCAGGGTCAGGCTGCAATTCTCTGCTCCAAACAGATCTTCATAGGACTGCATGGCATGACTGCTCATTTCCTTTGGATCAGCTGTTATACGACCTCCTGGCAGTTTAAGATAGGTCAGCAGCTTCTTTTGAGCCACCGATCTCTCAAGATTAAAAAAGCAAGACGTTGGGGCATCCACGTCTTTTAGTTGAAGGAAACGACACCGCACAAGAGCTCCCTTCACCCTCTCCTGCAGGAAAGAGCTCAACTCCATGCGTTTCTCCTTCAGCAGGGTACCAGTGGTGGGATCCACACTCCCATTAACCCCTCCTCAGGGTTCTTAATGTTGTCCTCGAGATTTTTAACAGCTGTTTTTAATGTAGCAGAAGAGTGTGATGTATACTGCTGACAAAAAACACAAATCTGAGCTTCACCAACCTTCAAAGCTTCAAAGAATCAAAATCAACTTTTTTTTATTGCCACTGATACCAAAAACATTCAAAGTTTTTACAGAAAACATTGTCCAGTAGAAGCTTGTTATTAAAATGCCAGAAGGACTTAGCCCTTTCACCTGGTGAAATAATCAGCTCCTCACTAACAAAATGGTGGTCAGTGAAGCCAACAGGCCAAATATTACAACTAATTAATCTGGGGTTGAGAGTTCTCGAGATGTAAATCCTGTCCGGTTTAGCTGCACACACCCTGTTACTGTTAACCCTGACCCATGTATACTGTCTGGATTGTGGATGTTTCACTCTAAATGTGTCCAACAAATCCAGGTGTGAGATGACAGAGTTTAGAGTCTGGGATGAATGTAGCTGTGGCTCCTCTCCTATCGACGGTGAAATCAAGCGTACAGTTAAAATCACCACCAAGGATGATCTGATCCTGATTAATAGATCAGTAACTCCTTTTGGAGATGGGTATATAAAGCTACTCTTTCAGCTCCATTATTTGGAGCATAAATATTAGTGAAACAGAAAACAGTGTCCTCTATTTCTGCTCTTACAATTAAAAGCCTTCCCTTTACAATTTCAGCACAAGATACGATATTTACATTTGCAGATGCTCTAAACAAAATGGCTACTCCTGCACTAAAGTTGGTGCCATGGTTAAGGTAGTTAAAGCCCACCCACCATAAACCCCAATCTGTCTTATCTGATGGTGTGGTATGAGTCTCTTGTAAAAACAAGATGTCAATGTTTTTCTGAGTTGAGATATCTGAGATAAGGCCCATTTTTCTGTCTGTCTCTCCCACCATTAATGTTAAGAGATCCTATTTTAAGACTCCTCATAGAAAGATCAGAGAGAAAAAAACACCTTGTGATGCATGATCATTTATTTGACGTTTCATCCATAAATTGATTGATTGACTCTAAAGAATAAAAATCAGAGCCACTATTTGGCAAATCAGCAATGGATGCATTGTCTGACTCATAATCTTCATCCATGTCCTCTCCTTCACATGATGCCTGGCTACAACACACTGTCTTACCTTCCTTCAATGAAACATCTAGAACTGCAGAACTTGTGGAAGCTTCAGTTTTATCAGTATTTACAGTCCTCGTAGAGGGAACTGACAACAGGGAAACTTGTACAAATAAATCAATGAACACACCACTCTCAATCAGCTGATACACAAGAGGCTGACTCTTCAGAAAAACAATCACAGCCTTGTTCATTCGGGATGCATACTAAAGTTTATCCTGACCTACCTGTTCACCTACAGCCAACAAAACCTCCTCCATGGTAACAGTACCGTTTGGCGGGACTATCTGAACTCCCTGTCGGAGAGTCGGATGTGGCGTCTCAGCAGACGCCATTCCTCCCGAGAACCCCTCCAACGGTCTGTCTTGCACAGCCAACATAACTCAATATAAATATGAAAACAGTCTTACCTGATCATGCACTTTGAAAACAGTAGAAAGGATAGCAAACAATTCAATCTCTGCACCACTCGCAACACCACCACTGTCACTCACACTCACATTCACCGGAAACGAAGAGGAGAGGAGATGAGAGGAGAGGAGAGGAGA